GCCTCGGTGCCATCTTCATCATCTTCATCATCATTCATTTCACTTGTTACACCTCCACCGAGGGTTGCCCCTCTCTCCTTTTCATTTTCCGTCGTTTTCACACATTCCTTGTCCTTGTCGTTCGGCCGTTTGCTTTCGCCCACGAATGCGTAGACACAATCTGCATCAACTGTGATGGAAGGTATGGATCTAGGACACGAAGCTCGGACGAAGCGGAGGGAGGGACGTCGCAGACGGCGGGACCGGAGCGAAGGCACTTGAGGGGTAGAATGAAGATTCGAAAGTGATTGAATTGTTGGAGCTTACACCCTACTGTTATAGACACGCGACCCTGCGTCCTATCACCTAGTGCATCTAATCAACCATCACTCACCGGTGTTCATACAATCATCCTACTCGTCTAATCATCGGTGGCGTAAACAACTTACCGTAATCACCATAATCAACGTGGGTTCGGATTGGACCGGTTCGGGTTAACCGGTTAATGGGTGCAACTGGTACACAGTACCCAAGACCAGCAACCCTCAATACGCCCCCTCAATGCGAAGTCCCACGAATGCCGAGAGCCACCGTCAGATCCGTGTGGCGTCGTCCCGCAAGCGCCTTCGTCATGATGTCCGCTAGCATCACAGAAGTCTCGCAGTACTGGAGCTTGACTTCGCCGTGCTTGACTTCATCGCGGATGTGGTGGTACTTGGTGTCGATATGCTTGGCGCGACCGTGGTTCACTGGGTTCTTCGTCATCTTGATGCACGACTGGTTGTCTTCGCGGATCATGAGTTCGGGTCCAGTCTCATTAGCGGCCGCCAGAATCTCGCATAGCAGGCGATGAATCCACTTGCCTTCTTGGATAGCCAGACTGAGCGCGATGTACTCCGCTTCATTGCTTCTTGCTTCCCCAGCTCACAGGCGCACTCATGAGCATGAACGTGTAGCCTGAAGTGGACTTGCGGTCGGCGAGGTCGCCGGCCCAGTCCGCGTCCGAGTAGCCACGAAAGTCGATCTTGTCGCCCGGCTTGAAGCAGATCCCATGCGTCTTGGTGCCTTGCAGGTAGCGAAAGATACGCTTGACCGCAACCCAGTGTTCCTCTTGGGGGTTCTCCATGAAGCGCGATACATAGCCAACGGCGTACGCGATGTCTGGGCGCGTGGCGGTCATCAGGTGCATCAGAGCACCAACAGCTTCGCGAAACGGAGCTTTCACCTTGGTCGCCGCGTCGCTTGGAACCAGTCGAGTGCTCATGTCCACCGGACTCACCACGGCCTTGCACTCGTCCATGGCGAAGCGCTTCAGGATGTCGTCCACGTATCGCCGCTGGCACATGGTCACGCTGCCGTCCGGGCCGTCCACCAACTCGATCCCAAGAACAAACGCGCACTTGCCGCTGTCGGTCATCTCGAAGCGCGTCTTCAGGTCGGTCTTCGTGCGTGCGATCAGCTCGGGCGAACTCCCGGTAATCAGTACGTCATCCACGTACACCAGTACAAGCACGCAGTGACCGTCCACCACCTTGATGTAGAGGCACGGATCGAAGGCCGACACTTGGAAGCCGATGGAGCACACGAACTCGTCGAAGGTCTCGTTCCACACTCGCGAAGCTTGCTTGAGACCGTAGATGGCCTTCACCAGTTCCAGGCAGTCGAAGTCACCATCCAGTTCGACGCCTTCCGGAACCACGCAGAAGACCACCTCCTTCATTATCCCGTACAGGAATGCTGTCACCACGTCGAGTTGGTCGAGGGGCCAGCCAAAATACTTAGCAATCGCGATCACCATGCGCAGCGTCACATACTTGACCACGGGCGAGAAGGTCTCGGTGTAGTCAATGCCGTACTTCTGCTTGAAGCCCTTGGCCACGAGGCGCGCCTTGTACTTCTCGATCGAGCCGTCCGCTTTGCGCTTGATCTTGAACACCCACTTGGTATCGATGGCGCGTTGTCCGTTAGGCAACTTGGCAGCTCGAAACACACCACGCAGTCGCATCGACTTGAGCTCCGCGCGGATCGCTTTGCGCCAGTGCACTTGATCAGTACCGTTCACATCCTCTTGGAACGTCGTCGGCTCCGATAGATCGGCTGCTGCTTCCACAGCGTTGGCACTGGCACGCCAAAACACTGGAGGCGTCGAGTCGTCGTCTTCATCTTGGTCCCCAGACTTTTCTTCTTCGTCGGGGTCGGCTCGGCGCGAGGAGGATACGTCCGGCGCACTTGCTTCTTCTAAGCCAGCTCGGTGGCGAACGGGGCGCGATCTTCTGGCAGTGTTGTCGTCGCCACTCGGTCGGTACTTGCGCTTCCCCGCCTGCTTGAAGCTCGTTTGGCGCGGTCCATCGTTGTCGTCCAGGTCCAGCGCGTCCAAGTCCAGCACAGCATCATTGACGTCTTCATCCGAAGTATGCGTCGAAAGTCCAAAGGTCGACTCATCGAAGTTGACATCGCGACTGATAACCACCTGCCCCGCCTCGATGTCATAAACTCGATACGCCTTGGACACTTCTTCGTAGCCGAGGAACAGCCCGGCGCGAGCCTTGGGGTCCCACTTGCGCCGTCTTTCCTTCGGCGTCAGGATGTACGTCTGGCATCCGAACACACGCATGTGCTTCACACTCGGCTTGGACTTGTAAACGATCTCGAACGGAGTCTTGTGTTCGATCTTGGGTGATGGCAGACGATTCTTCACGTAGATGGCTGTCATGGCCGCCTCAGCCCAGAAGCTCTTGTCCAGCTTGGCGTGATGCAGCATGCTGCGGCCAATCGTGACGATGGTCCGGATGGCGCGTTCTGCCGTGCCGTTGGTCTGGTGCGCGTACGGAACCGTGGTTTGCTACTCGATGCCTTCGACTTCGTAGAAGGCCTTGAGCGAGTTGGTCGCGAACTCACGGGCTCCGTCGTGCCGCACAAACTTGACCTTCTTGCCGAACTGCGTCTGCACCTTCGTGACGTACATCTTGATGCAGTCCTCGCTCTCCGACTTGGCACGCAGGCAGAACCCCTTCATGCATCCGCTGGCTTCGTCCACGATCAGCAGCAGATACTTGCTGCCACCCAGTGACTCTTCTTCCATGGGTCCGCACACGTCGAAGTGGAGCAGCTCGAACGTGTCGTAGTGACGCTTGTCACGGTTGCTTGGGAACGGCTTCTGGACCATTTTCCCTTGCTGGCAGCCGCGACACACGCTTGGTTCACTCGACTTGGAAGGTGCCTTCGCGTCCTTGATCATGTTGTTGTCGACCATCTTGCGAAGCACCTCCACCGGAGCGTGACCCATACGCGCGTGTAAGTCGACCGTCTTCCCACTGGTCGCCGCATTCGCCGATCGCTGAGGCGTCTGGAGCCAGTAGAGTCCATCCACGAGGTTTGCCGTCGCCACCACTTGCTTGGAGCCCTTGTGCGCAATCTGCATCTTGGTGCTGTCGAACACGACTTGGAACAGACCACTCTTGTTGATCTGTGGCACCGAAAGCAGATTCTTGCTCATGCTTGGAACGTACAGCGCGTTCTTGATCTCGATGTCGCGCTCGTCGCCGTTGGGCAGAACCACTCGTTCCACGATGGTCCCCACACCCATGATGGCCGCCTTGTTGCCGTCGGCCACCGAAAGTTCGCCTTCATTCCGCTCAATCAAATGAGCGAACTTGGCCTTGACGTTGCAGATGTGGTGCGTTGCGCCGCTGTCGACCGCCCACAACCCGGACACATTCTTGCCCGTCGAAATGCCACACTCCAGTGAGACCGCGAACGCCACTCGATCATAGCCGTAGTCGTAGTTGTAGCTGGCGTCGTCGTTCCTCCACTGGGCATTGTTGGCCCCGCGTCTTGGGCCCCGATTCTCGTCCTTCTGCTTGGTCCAGCACTTGTCAATCGTGTGCCCCAATTTCCCGCAGTACGTACACTGGCGAGACTCTCGGTCGGTGTTGAACGCCTTGGCCGCATTCTCCGTCTTCACCGTCGCCGTCTTCTCGCCTTGTCTCTTGATGTGCTCATTCGTCAGCACCTTCACGACGTCTTGCGATCGTAGTTCAGCGCTGCTCATCTCCAAGTTCAGCACGACGTTCTCGTAGCTCTTGGGGAGGCTGCGCAACAGGCAGATCGCCACGTCCTCATCCTCCACCTTGGCGCCGATGCTGCTGAGCTTGGCGCTGATGTTGAGGACCTCGTTGCAATGATGCAAGACGTTGCCGCCTTCCGACATCTCCATGCTGAAGAGTTGGCGCTTCAGGTAGATGCGTCCAGCCTTCTGCGAACCACCGTACAGCGTCTTCAGGCGCGTCCACGCAACCCACGCTTCCTCGCAGTCGTCGACCACATGGTGGTAGTCCGCGTCCATGTGGAGCAACATCAGTCCGAACGCGATGTTGCTCGACTTGACGTAGTCGTCCTTGGCCCGCGAGTCCGTGAAGCTCGGCGTCGTCTCGCGGTTCACGACATGCCACGTCGGTCAGGAACACGCCACGCATGTAGCGGTTCCACGTCGCGTAGTTGTCCCCGTTGAACTTGTCAATGGAGACCTTGGTCGAGGCGTCTTGGGCAGAGGACATGGTGCTTGGGCTCATAACCTGATGGAAGGTATGGATCTTGGACACGAAGCTCGGACGAAGCGGAGGGAGGGACGTCGCAGACGGCGGGACCGGAGCGAAGGCACTTGAGGGGTAGAATGAAGATTCGAAAGTGATTGAATTGTTGGAGCTTACACCCTACTGTTATAGACACGCGACCCTGCGTCCTATCACCTAGTGCATCTAATCAACCATCACTCACCAGTGTTCATCCAATCATCCTACTCGTCTAATCATCGGTGGCGTAAACAACTTACCGTAATCACCATAATCAACGTGGGTTCGGATTGGACCGGTTCGGGTTAACCGGTTAATGGGTGCAACTGGTACACAGTACCCAAGACCAGCAACCCTCAATAAACCGCGGACTCAGCTAACTGTGGCAGCTCGATTGGGACCAAACCAGTTTCAGTTGGCGGGCTGCCTAGTTTAAATTGCCACCGAAGACTAGGCTTTGGAGCTCTGGCGAGAGGTCCTTCTTCTCGGCCTTCGTTTTGATGATCGAAGTGAGGGCTTGAAGTGTTTCGCACTTGCCGATGTCATGCACCTGTTGGCACAGTCGGCAGCGGCGGTAGCAGTAGTGAGCCGAATGCCCGGCTCCACCACAAGCTGCGCACGGACCGTACTGACGCGGACGACCATCGCGGTTGTCTCGGCCAGAGTGGCGGTTACTCCGGTCGAATCCTCGGCCGGGTTCACCACCCCTGCGTTGACGTTGGTCAGGTCGCGCGTACGTTCCCTCAGCTGCTTGGCGTCGCTTACGCTCATTGGCAGCAGCGACGTGAGCTCCTTCCTCACCAGAGCTGCTAACGTCACTGTAGCCACCATCACTCGGATCGCTCTCGGAGTAATGATAATCACTGGCGTCACTCTCGCTGTCGCTGTACGGGGTACGACGTGGCGACGAGCGCTCGGCTCTACCACCCTTGGTACCGCGGACTTGCAGTTCAGCGACCAAGTCTGACAGCGAAGCTTCAGCTAGCGAAATGCGCGGAACATGGCGCGAGTCTTCGCGGCGGCGAGAGTCTTCACGGCGACGTTCGTAACCACGGTCGCGGTCGCGACGGTAACTGTCACGCGAAGCTTCGTGGCGACGGTCATCACGACGACGCGGTTGGTCTCGACTGCGCGAGTGGTGAGACGAGGTCTCGCGCGACTGCCCACGCTCTTCAGACTTCAAGATGTCGTTGATCATGTCCTCGAGTTCGTGAATGTCCTTCATCCGGACGTGGTAAAGCCGGATTTCGAGGCTTCGGTCACCGCACGTCTCGAGGAACCTCTGCACATGGTCCTTCGCATCGCGACCACCACTCTCGAACTGAAGGCCAGCATTACGAGCGTAACCATTCCGTCGGTTGAGGTAGTCACAAAGGTGTTCCGAGGACTCGCGCTTCACAGAGTAGTAGCGAGCCTTCGCAGACTGGCTAAACTGCGAGCAGTAATACTTGATAAACGCATCGCTCAGTCGCTTCCACTGACGCTTAGTCCTCTTCGGGAGTTGACGGTACCAGTGAAGGGCACCGTCCCGAAGGCTCAGCTCGAAAGCCATGCACCACTCGTTTGGCGGAGTGTGCGTTCCCTTCCTCTCATAGACGAAAGCTCGGAGCCACTGCATAGAGTTTTCACTCCGATTGCGGGCTCCTGAGAAATTCTTGATCTGCGCGAGCGGCCGGTGTGTGGCGATCTCGAGCCGAGGAGTCGAACTCAGTCGCTCCATCTCGCTCACTTCACGCACTTGACGGGCCAACTCATCGCTCGGGCTGTCAAACCCATCTTCATAGTCGATGTTGTCATTGTCGTCCTCGTCGGACGAGGAGTCGTCGCGCGGTGTAAACCGGCGGCTTGGGCGTCGCGTGGAGTTTCCTTGCGTGCTCCGCTCGCGTTGCGAACCTTCGGACTCACGCGCAATACGGTCGGCTCGACTCGCCGACCTAGGAGTCGCCATGTGCGAGTCTTGGAAGTACGGCGAACCTTCGGTCTTGGCGGAGAACATTCCGTCCGTCGCTTGGCTTTGGTTTGACCGCTTGGCGGACTTCTTGGGTGTCTGTGGCAGTGGGATCTTCGAAGGATCAGCTTGCTACCTCGCGGGGCGAGCACTCGGGGGGCGTCCCAGAGTCAGGTCCGACTCCCCGAAGCTCAGGCGAAGCTTCCTCTTCCACTTATGCAACTCCTTGCCGGCGAGCCCCGGCGTCCAACTCTTGATCAAGACTTCGGACGGGCGAGTTCTTGGCTCGCAGCCCATCGCTCGTAGGAGGGACACCGTGTCCTCGGCCACCTGGGTGACTGAGGTCGACTCAACGGGGTGTTGCAACTCCTCCTTCAGCTCAGCCCAAGTCGCTTGACGCGTCATCTCGGGATTGAACTGCCATATCCACTCGCTCGACTCCACCATCTGCTCGAGCATTCTGCCGAGCACCTTGTTCGCAGCTGGAGTGCTGCTGTTCATAGCGGGCCGACTTCCGCGGGATTCTTGAGGACCCTTAGTAACCTGCACCAGAGCTCTCGAAGCCGAGGTCTCGGTGCCATCCTCAAAGTCGTCGTCCGCATGGTCGGGTTTCGCCACTTCATCAAATTCCGTGACGAGGTTCTGGTACAAGGAGCGCGAGTCTCCGCTACGTCCCGCGGACAGCATCGCATCTTCTTCATCTCCGAACTCCTGCGTCGTCGCTGGAGTCTTCTCCTCCAGGTCATCATAGTCCATCATCATGTCATCCTTGGCGTCCGAATCTTCGTCGACCGACTCTTCGAAACTGACCGACCTTTCGGAGATCGTCGACAACCGAGACGTTAAGTCACTCGCGATCGTTGACGAACCTTCGGCCGATCCTCGTCCCGACTTCATCGGCGTAGCTGGTACCGCTGACTTGGATCCTTTCGCCATCTTGTTCTTGTTCTTGTTTCTTCTTCTCTTCTTCTTTTCTCCTCAATGCTCGTTGGGCAAAACCTACACCGACAACAACACACAATCGGTCACACCAGTCCCGGGTCGCGGCATTGTAGGAAAACACGAGTTTACGAGTCCTCGCCCTATCAACCGATGTCTCTAGGACGAGCCCTACCAACAACACACGCCGTCTCCGAAGAGTCGGCGATAGATTGTCGGGATGATAAACCTGAAGACCAGGTCCGATCCCTTATACGGGCTGGAATGTGCCTCCCTGTATGTTGCCGGTCAGGTAGGTTTACCCTTCGTTAAAATATAAGAGCACCCTTAGCCACGAGCTACGGCTAGGATGCAATGTGTAATACGTGCTTTCGCACTAAACCTCTGTGGTCCCACAGAAAGGAAGGGTACCAGGCCAATCAAAGCCTCTTACAGGGGCGCCGGGGCGAAGCCTCGGCTAGAAGTCAAATACACTGGGGGGTCCTTGCCTCACACCCAGTCAAACTACAACTGTACACAGAGGTCTCTAATACCTCCCAACACACTCTTGGCCTTACCAGGATGAACACTCGGTCAATGCACCTTATGCTCACCGGCAGACATACCCCGTACAGCCGAGTGTATCCAGACCCTACGCTAAGCTTAGCGACTTACCGTAGACGGACTTGACCCTTGTGTGGCTTGGGGGGAAAATTCTGCTCTGTTTAATGATTAGAGGCTGCCAGGCCTCTCCTATAGCTAATCCCTAAGGTCTATACAAATATCAAGTGTGGACCGAGCTTTCGAGCTGATCCTACAATCGGACGAAGCTTCGTCCTAAATCCGAACTCCTACTGGGCATAAAGTTTACCCACTATGAAACTTCGGAGGCCTCGGCAGGCGGATTATTTTGACCCGCCGAGACCCTCCTATCACTCCGTAGTCTCTATCAATCTTCTGGGCACTAAAGCGCGGGGAATGTGACCGACCAATCAGAGCGCTCGGTCAGCCATCTCTCGCAAGCTCAAGGCAGTTAGACCTCGGCCGGAACTCGCCCAGCCGCAGTCATTTCCCGATCTCACAGCTGCCTGTCTCTCGATCGCTGATCCCCCATACTTCCAGTCGATCGGCCCTGCCGCCTTTCTCGGAGATCAATTCTTATTCAGCACTTCTCCACATCCGCCCCCTGGCCGCAAGTTGTGTCGCACGGCGGCTCACTTCGGACAGTTCGACCTGGGTCATTCTCCAATTCGCCGGCTCAAGCACAGACCACTCACAGATGAGCACACCGCCGCCCAACCCGCCTCCGTCCGGTCCGCCGGACGACGACGGTTCGACGCATGGCTCGCCCCGATCGACTCATTCGACACCTCGATCGACGCGATCGACGGCCTCCCGCCGTGCCGCGGCCTCCCCGCCGAATCGCCCGCTTGGAAGATGAGCTGGCGTGCGCCTACGCTTCCCGATCGACTATGATCCGCGACCGGGCGCGCCAGGACGACACCGTGCGCGAGCTGACTGCGAACCTGCACGACTTGGAGCGCCACCGCTGGCCGCAAGAGGAAGAGATCCGCCGCCTTCAGACGGAAGTCAGTGACCTTCAACAGAGTGCCCAGGGTCAGGGTCCACAGCTGATCCATGGCCTCCGGGATCAGATAGCCCTGCAAGCCGCCGAGATCCAGGATCGGGATCGCCAACTGACACGCGCTCAGGCCCATCTCGCGACTGCTAACGTCGATCGTGATCGACTGGACCACCAGCTCGATCTCGCCGCGGCGGACATTTCGGACCTCCGATCGCAGGTTTCTGGGCAAGAGCGCGAACTAGACGAGGTGAACCACGAGCTATACCTTACGCGCGGCAGCCTCGATCGGGTCCAGACTGCCCTTCAGGTGGCCGAAGCCACCGTGGCCCAGCGAGGTCACGTTGCGGCTGCGGCCACTCCGGCCGTTCCGACCCCGACGCCTCCCACTGGACCCACGCCCTCCCTGGATCAACTGCAAGCTGCCCTCCACCGGGTAAATGAGGAGCTGGATCTGATGTGCACCGCCCGAGATACCGCGAGAGACCAAGCCACCGCTGCCGTGAGAGACGTCGATCAAGCTCATCAAGACCGCGATGCTGCACTCCGAGAGAACGCCAATCTCCGTACGTAAACTTCCATATCACCTATTCCGTTGCCGATCGCCGCTCATGCTGTCGCTGTGCTACAGGATCGTGTCTCGAAAGTGCGCAACAGGTGATCCGGGCCCAAGACGTCCAATTCCTCGATGTCCAGAACGCCTACGCTATGTTGCGTCACGCCAGCGATCGATCCAGCGAGGATCTCGAGAATATGGCTGACACGTTGTCTCGCGTAGCTCGGTGGATCGGGCTTCGTCAGTGCGCGCCGATCACGCCTGGCCGTCGCAGCTGCAGTCGCTCAGGATCTCTGGACTCTACCGGGCACATCCACAAGCGTGCCCGATCGGCCCCTCCACCCCGCAGTCGATCTCAGAGTCGGTCGCCCGCTCGGTCTCCCTCGCCGTCCTTCTCGTTACACGGTAATGATGAGGAACTTCCTACTGAGGGTCAGCCTGCTGAAGATCAGCCTGCTTCCGATTCAAACGAGCAAGAGGGATCGGACCAAGACGGGTCCGGCTCGCAACCTCGATCTTTGCAGAGAAATCAGTCGGAAGAGGGGGAGTCGTCTCCGGCTAGATCTGCGGCCGACGAAGAAGGATCCGAATCGGAGGGGCCAGATCAAGAGACCGACGAAGAAGAAGACGAGTCGGAGGGGTCTGATCAGGAGGCGCTCGCAGCCTTAGCTCGGTCCCGATCGGAGGCCCGTTGCCGTCAATCTGCCTCGCCAGCCCGTACCCACACTTCGAGGCTCGCTCGCGATCGCGATCGCCCTCCGTCGTGTCAATTCACTCCCAATCCGGATCGGCTCACTCCCAATCGTCCCACGGAACGCATCAGTCTCGTTATGGCTCACCTAGATCGACGTCTCCGGGATCCCCGCCTGGTTCTCCACCTGGATCGCCGCCGCCCGGTTCTCCACCTGGATCACCGAAGTGCCAAAAAGTATGCAAAGCACAATAGGTACTTTCTCTGATCCCGCCGTTGTTCCCGATCGGCACCATGATCCCGGGTTTCAACGTCCCCAGGACACTCGTTCAGGCTGATACGGACCCCTGGCCTTCGATCCTGCTAAGGCAGCTACAGATCACAGCCATGATCCTGTCGACGCTGACCCACCATGTTCTCCTACCCGACGGGTGGCTCTTCCCGCTCGACTGCACAGCCTGCCGCCTGGATCGGCTATCGAGACGGCCTGATCACCGGACCTAACATTACCGCGTTGATGGCCGATCGCCCCTGGCAGGTGCTGCAGAACCCGGCCGATCAGTTGACTTTCGATCTGGCACTCCATCGAGGCGCCGGCACCCGATTGGGTCGGATCGCCGTTGCCTATCTTCAATTCGAAGAGCAGCATCGCCAGGCCTTTTGGGAAACCCTCATTATCTCCCGATCACGGCCGCACAGCGTCGGGACCCGATCGTTGAGCAATACCATCGCGATCGCCGAGCCCGACGGATCCGCCTCGGTGATCGGTGGCGCCGACTCCTCGACGCGATGCTACCCATGATGCGCGAGATGTGGGCAGACATCGATCTGCTGCTGGGCCCGTTCTTCTTGCAGATCCCGGTGCGACAGCGAGACGCTGTGACCTGGTATCCCGGTGCGGTGTCTCGCACTGCGAATGCTGGCGACCCCACCCAGCACCAAGGTGAACCGACCGCGAACGGCCCTGATCGAGGCCGACACCCATGATCCCTGGCGGAACCAGTATCGCGACCGCCCCCAGGACCATCCAGCTCAACGGATCCCGCGCCTCCGCAACAAGTTCAACCCCAATGTCGGCGCCAAGCACCAGCCGTGACATGATCGCCGTCTCTGCGATTGACTTCCGTAAGTAGCGAGCCAGTCGACCATTATAACTCCAGAGTCGGAGTGACTCGGAGGCCGATCTTCCATACGCGTGACCCGAAATATTCAGATTAATCCATTCCATCGTAACCATCCATATTCTTTCTCGATCTCCCACTGTTCCCCGTCAATCCATTCGTTGCTTGCTCGATCGGCCAGGATCCGTCCTCATACATTCTTGCAATCGCTCCATAACCATCCGATCTGCACTCACGTACACACATTCATTCATATACAACCCCTTCCTCCGATCAACGGCCTCCACGTCGATCCGTCATCCATCTCCCTCACCAAGGCGACCAGCTCGCCCTGCCGGTCCGATCTCACTCTTCTTCGTGAGACTGCATCGCGCCAACTCGGTTCCGGTTCACGCGATCTCGAAGGAACTCGTGCAACAAAGCTCCACAGTTGAGATCAGCCTCGTCGACCCAGTCAGGCTCGTCATAACCCTTCCAGTGTACCAGGAACTCTCGATACGTCCGGCCATACCGAGTCCCGCGACCTGTTCTCGTATCCGTGATCTTCTCCACTTCGTACTCGTTCGAGTCTCGATCTGGGGCCCAGCTGTCCTCCGGAAGTAAGACTTCGTCGAAATCAAGTCGATCTGCTTCGCCCACCGTGAGCGCGATCTGCGGTCGATCGGGGAAGTCCCTGGCCAACTTCAGCTTCGAAGCATGCACGATCGGGAACAGGTGATAGTCCGTACCAGCGATCTGAAGCTTCATCGTATACTCGTTCACCTTCTCCGCAACACGGAACGGGCTGTGCCACAGGTGAGCCAGCTTCCGGGCATACCCCTCTTTCACACGATCCAGGTACAGCCGCACCTGAGATCCAGCCTCGATCGAGTGTGGTCGAACTTCTTCATTGTGTCGATCGGCCCGATCCGCGATCGTCTCGCGTTCGCGAGCATTCACCTGACTTCGAGCCTGATCGTAGTGCCTCTGGGTCCGATAACGCCACCGTCGAGGATCCCGATCCCGAGTCCGAGTACTACCCAAAGATATCGTCGCCTCGAGCGTCGATCGAGGATCCCATCCATGCAC